GAGATGCGGCTTAACCTTCCTTCTCCTGCGTTACTGGTGAGATGCAGCTTCACCTTCCTTCTCCTGGTTACTGGTGAGATGCAGCTTCACCTTCCTTCTCCTGGTTACTGGTGAGATGCAGCTTCACCTTCCTTCTCCTGGTTACTGGTGAGATGCAGCTTCACCTTCCTTCTCCTGGTTACTGGTGAGATGCAGCTTCACCTTCCTTCTCCTGGTTACTGGTGAGATGCAGCTTCACCTTCCTTCTCCTGGTTACGGGAGCCAAGACAGACCGGCAGCATGTCTTGGCCACCTTGCACATTAGTGACTTAGCAGACGATGGGTGATCGTGCTGCACGTACGTCAGAGCTTTGGGTTTCACAGCTTCCCAACAGGACAACTTCGCTCCACTCCACTTTCCATACAGGACTTTTTCTGGTTTTTTGGCTAACGAAGGCAACTAGAATCTGAACGTGAAGCATCACCACCAGCTGAAGGATTCGTCAAAGGAATCTCACTTCTTGGAAAGGAAAACTGCTTTAAGAGTTACCTTTTTCTCCTGTGATAAGTGCCTTGGTAGACAAGCTAATAAAAATCTCAGAGTACATAAATCTATGTGCAACCACTTTGATTTCTATTTTATAGTTCTCTTTAAATAAAGGAGGCAACCAATGTCTTAAAACCATTCCTAATTCAAATAGATCTTAAATTAGCATTTAAAGTTAAGACTATGAAACTCCAGTGAAATATAAAGATGAAACACATGGTTTTGGCTCTGTCAACACTGGCAGCTTCCTTTCTCCCTCATTACTGGCAGTGAGGAACACCCATGACACCAGCACATCAGGACACACATTCGTGCTGTTAACATCAGCCACTCTCCTCCAACACGACAATTTCATACTCACATTGTAACTACACTTTCCCACTTTCTGAATTCCAAAGCATCCCATTTTGAGCTTACTCTGTGGTGCCAACCATAGCGAGCACTAACTTGGCTCAAAAGGCCACAGAAGCTACGCTAACGCACGTGGATTTCGAATTCACTGAAGTCTCCTGAAAAAGGGCTAAACACCACTCTGCTCCGTATCTCTTTGCTTTATTAGAATGCTCTTTGAAAGATGACACTGCAGTTCAGGTCCGGTACCACTCTACAGAACAAAGAACAGCGTTCACCGAAATTCCTGTGAACGTCACAAAAAACACATCAGGAAAATCAAAGATACAGTACTCCACACTGACCAAGTCTGCTGGCATGAAAATGAAAGAGGGCTCGTCAACTACAGGTCACTAAGCCGTTAAAATCAAACCCCAATAATGGACATTGAAGTGTTCCTTGATTTCTGGTTAAATCACTGATTGCTCAAGCCTTTCTCAACAGGGTGACTGAAATTTCACATTGCCAAAGGAAGGTGAGAACTGAAATACCTTGGTAACTGCTGTTCTCCAAGAGGACCACTGTATCTTTAAATGTATCCTGGATTAAACAACAAAGGTTTTACCTACACTTGTTAAATTATTGCACAGGTCATTACACTGATAAATACATTATGAATCCATGGAATGTTACACAGTCTGGCTTGGAAAATAAAAGCAGCAGCATCATCCTTGAGGTCTCAGCTATGAGGAGGAGCTGGCCAAGCACTTCTTAAAACGTTATAATTATTAACAGATTCCAAGACACAAATGAAGCATTTTAAAATAATCCCTAACTCCTAGGATCAGGTTCCTGGTTCAGGAACATTCTCTAAGACTTTCACTCTTTTGCAAGTGGCACTTAGTTTGAACGTCTTGACGTTTTTCTTATTTCAGACTACCTGTAGGAATCCAGCTGCTCTGTATTTTCCAGAGTTGAAGCCACACAAAGGAATAAACCACTTTGAAACACTAGGAAATTTAAACCAAACGTTACAATGTCCAATTGTTGCAGCAGTCGTTTCACCTTCTGCGCTCTCTCCTGGCAATTGCTTGTACAACTTAAAATTGTTAATACATGGTGTGGGACTGGCAGGGAAGAGGACCCCCGAGCATCCACCAAGCAGGTGAAGCACACGCAGCGACACGAAAGCCTTGCCAATCCACAGGCTCACTCAGATTCACGGCTGTATCGTCACTCAGGTAAGCGGGCTCAGCTTCAGCAGGCTGCACTTAATGCCTCTAATTAGTGTTCACAATCTGGCCAATAAAAGAGTAACTGGGGAGAGAAGGGGAGGGATAAAAAAAATAAAATCCAATTTATAAACACTTGCTTCATACATGCAACTCAACTGCATGCATTTCACCAAACTGAGGACACTTCCCAGCCATCTACTCTTAAAAAAAAAAAAGTAAAGGAACTAGATGATCTTTGAGGTCCCTTCCAACCCTAACCGTTCTATGATTCTATGAAAACAGAGGCTTTGCAAAAGAAAATGCCCTCATTTCATCCTTTCCTCTGGAAGACATGATAAAACGTTCAGATACAGACAAGTCATTAAAAAAAACACCACTGTGGCTGTCAAATTGAGAGCTGTTGGTTACTGCACACTTTCTGCCACTATACTGGTTTTAATATCTTCCATTAACACCTTTCTGGGGGTTGTAGCGTTTTGTCACCTCTCTGCAGCGCTGCACAAAGAGATGGCAACTGCTCTGCCACTGTCTCCTCAGCTGGAAGAAAAATCGTTACCCAAAGCTTCTGCCCGAGCAGGGCCCTGGCTGTTCAGTTCAATTTAGAACATAAAGTCTCAAGAGATACAAAAATAAAACACGACGAACAAACAAATGGCTCATGCAAATTGCAGCTGCAAGTATATAAATAAAGCGGTTTTCTCCTAGGCAAACCAGGCGGCTGCGGAGGCCGCACGCAGACACATCACAATAGTGCTGATGGAACGGACTGAAACGAAGCTTATCCTGCTAGGAGTCATTCCAGGAGGTTTAGAAAGAGAATCTGTGATAAATTTGTGCACAGGAAGCAGAATCAGCCGCTCCAGGCAGACACCAGCCATCGGACAGTGCAGCCCATGGGATGTGCTTTGCTGTCCCTGCTAACGCGGCACTTCAACGTTCCCCGAGGACCAGGCAGTGCCACTGCACACACACCACAGCACCACCTTCCAAGGACACACCTCACAGCTTCCTACTGGGCACCGCGCAAATGACAAGTGGGCAACAGAGGTGCGTGCATAAAAACACAAAGGAGTTACATCTGACATGCAATTAAGCTATGGCAAAGGTATATCTGGAACAGGAGAGGAAAAAAAAGAACAAAATCCTTGTTTTTACAGTCAGGCTGTAAACTTCTGCCAACGGTATCACAAGTAGCATTGTAAACAGAGATCTCTCGTGCCTTCGGTGCCTCCAAAGTATCAGCATGTTGGCAAGAACACCCTGGGCACTTCATGTAGCTCAGCCCGGAGTAGTGCCTGGGTCAGGAGCACCCCTGGGTCCTGCAGCACGAGCTTCAGAGACAACACTATCAGGAGAAGCGAGGGGGGAAAAAAAGAAATCCCAACTCTTGCAGGACAGGGCTGGAGAAGACTAGAAAAATATTTTGTTCACCATCTGAAAGATCCTACTAACAGAAATACAGAATCAGGCTGCAAATAGAGCTACTTCTACTTAGACTTAAGCCTTTAAAATCTGCTACTTTTGAGGTGATTCATGATTTTCCTTCCTTTTTAACCTCTTATTACTATAAGCTTGAAAACCTCTGAAGAGAAAAAGAAATGAAAGATTATTTAAGGTAACGTTGATAACTTAAGACGGTTGTTTGCTTGAACACATTAATTAATTTTAAAAAGAAAAGGCTTTTTAGGTATTTAGTAAGATCTACAGGGTCCACAGTAAAGAACACCATGCTTGTAGTAAAGCAGACTACAAAATGACATCATGATTTGAAGTTTTCAAGTGAGCTGATTGTTTTCAGGCTGAGTGTACATTTACAACCCACTCCTAAAAAGAAAATGAGATACACAGGCCGTCTTTCTTTGACATTAAAGTCAAAATTCTTCTGTAAAAGTTATGGTTTGTGTCATGCAAAGCAATTTGTTGAGTCAAAGCTGAGACATGACTGAATCTTCTATTCCATTCCTTAATGCTGACAAGGAGTTTCTAAAGTTTCCAAAAGAGTGTTTCTTTAACAAGATCCAGGAAGAAAACGTGGAGAAATACATGATAGAAACAGAGATAGAGTTTGACATATTAATTTGGAAAACATCTGCTTAATTTAAGTTTTACTATTAAATCCAGACATCTACTCATCTTGAAAGGGGCTTGCTGCCAGCCTCTCTCCTCAATGTTCTCATATTTTCCACCCACTTTTTCTTACTGGAATCTTTTTTATAAATTTGTTTCACTGTGAAGTTGCCAAACAGATGTCCAGAAGGCCACAAGCAGCAGAAAGATTTCATTTTTATCAGAACAGATAAAAGAGACGGGTAGAAAGACAGAGAAAAAACAGACTATACAAAATACTCCACCTGGAAGAAGGGCCTAGGTAAGGAAGGAGAACCCCACAGCTTTGCATTTTGTCCGTGCAGGAACGCTGCACTGTGCAAACTCTTAACCCACCAAGCAAGGGCAGCAAGCGGAGCCGTGCTGGATAGCCCTTGCTGGCCCAGGACAAAACTACGAGTTTACACAAATCGTTATCTAGCCTCAGATTCCTTACTCATCCTAAGGGGAGAAAATAAGTTTTAAAAGACTAAAAAAGGGATCTCAAAGTTTAAAAACAAAGCTTCAATAAAAAGTATCTTAAAGACCATCTTGAATTGCCAGACTTAATATGGTCAGAGCAATCCGTAAGGCATCCGAGCTGGATCTATAGGACTGCAGTTTGCTTACTTCATGGCTATCTTTTCAAGGCACACCCTGTCCTTTGTTTGCACTAAACAGCTCGGATTATCTCAAATTCTAGGAGGACTGGATGAACACCTATTAACCTACACATGCAAGGTTGTGCCATGAAAGTGTGCTTGCACTGTTTTTTTCTTTCCTTTAAACATTCGTGCTAAGATAGTCACTGTATCCAGCTTCAATAGTGCAGGGAAGATTAATTTATCACTACCCTTGAAAAAGAGAGAGCCACCTTTATGTAATAAAAGATTCAGATGCTGCTTTTTTTTTTTTCCTAAACTGAGATAAAAGAAAGTAGAACGAATGGGAAGCACAAAAGTAACAGACCAGTAAGGTAAACCAAGATACTCCAGTTGTGTGTAAAACTTTCTCCCCTCAATCAGCCAGCATAGCCTCCCCTTCCTAGCTGTGCAAAACAGGGTTAACAGAGTTCTACCAGTTCTGGTTATCCCACCCATCATCAGCTGAAGACGCCTTTTTTGTTGCCTTAGGAGGTTTTTTGGTCTTGCTCTCTCCTCCTGCGTTTTCCCAGTTGGTCTCCCAATTTTCCCAACTGTCGCTGTTACTGTTTTTGTTGTTGGAGACTGTTCCTGAGCCCCACACGTCCCAGCTATCGGAGCTCTTCTTCTCTGTGGAATTGTCCACATAGGTCCAGCTCTCACTGCTTGGAGATTTATGAGCTTTTGGTGGATCTGAGTTGCCAAAGGTCTCCCAGAAGCTTTGATCTACAGCATTGTTCTGGTAGCCTTCCCCTCCACTGTTCTGGTAGCTGTCTCCCTCAGCTGGTCTTCTATGGTGGGGGAGGGAAAAAAGGAAGGTAGAAATAAATTAGTTATTACAAACATAACAATAAATGACCCCAAACAAAGGAAACTGTAACACTACTGCCCTTTGCTTAAACAAAAACTGACGATAAAGGCAGAAGAACTAAATACATTGCTCCAAAAGGCTTAAGATCATGTTCCAATTCACAGATTTTTGCTGACAGCCTTAAGTACTACTAATAGGCCCAGGGTGAGGGGACATGCCTTTCAAATAATTTTAAAGCCCAAGTGCTATGCAGTATTTTGTTCTCAGTTTAACAACTGTCAAACAAATAGACTGAATTCCTCCCGTATTACAAACAGGAGGATGAGCAAAGACAGAATAACTTCTTCCTATTTAAAAATTACCTGCTACTGCTATACTGCAGAGAATATAAAGGAGATAAAATTATGTTTTTAAAGAGACACAGAAAATAGTAACAAGCAAATACCTTTCAGAATTATCATCTGGTTTGCCAGAAAAAAAAGTGGTGACATCTCGCCATCCCTTACTTCCAACTCCCTGAACCTAGAGGAAAAAAAAAGACACTCCATTCATTTGGACTGAACCAACGCCTCTTCCAAATCCAACAGCAAAAGCCACAACACGTTCCTCCACTTGTTCAGATAAAGAGAAGGCATTTCATCAGAAAATTTCACTCACAACTTAATGTTTTTCACAGGCAGTTATGTGGTTGATGTAAAGAACATACATTTGACAGCATCGTGCTGCTGGAAGATGTGAAAAGTAGGTCAAGTTCAGCTTTTCCACCCATCATTTTCAGTAACTGCTTCTGAATTCTATCTTAGACATCCTTGACAAAAATGCTGGAATTACTCCTCCCATAAAATTAAACTTAACGACAGTTAAGTTGATGTTTTGATGTTACAATTCGTGTAACTGGTATTTGTAGTTCTACTGTTCTACAAAACTACTTTCACTCCAGTTCAGTAGCATTATTTCACTGCCCACGTAAAACAGGCCGAAAGTTGAGTTTCAGAATAAACATGACTGCTAGGAGAATCCTTCAGGGGTTACTATAACGGACTGGCGTTGCATTAGAAACAAATTCTGAAGTGACACTCATGGAAGTCACTACTCTAAGTCACAGACATGGAGGATGAATCCCAGAATTCAGACTTAAAGTAACCAGGCTCTAAATAGAACAGGTACCATCACTTATTTTATTCAAATATTACCAACGTTTAAGGCACTCAGCTGGTACATGACAGAGGTTCCAGTGCTGACTTTCATGGCACTAGAAAGACAGATCCTCCTAGGGAACCCTGCACAAGTTACCAAAGCAGACCTTAGATCGTACAGGACTCCTGTACGTAGCAGTTGTGGACAACACTTACCACGTTACCAAGCAATGACAGCAAAAGAAGACAAAGAGAAAAGGTAGAACATTAGTAACTTTAATGGTACAAGCGTAACGCAAGCTGTCTCCATATTCTCTAGCAGGCATTTTCTTTTTGTGTTTGGGCCACTGGTTGTATTATAACTCTACATCATGCCCTTGGTGAAACTATTCCAAGGACTACATCGTACCTACGTAGCTTGTTAACACCTCAGCAGAAGTACTGCTTACTGAAAATCACACTCGCAGAACTTCTGCATCCAGCACAAGCAGAGACAGCACCTGCACCATCTTGTTTCCCTGCAAACTCGTTGGAAGAATATGGAGACTGGCTTACAGTTTGGCCTCCTCACGGGCAGGCAGGCACTTCATACCTTGCTGGCCAACTGGGATACCCCCACGGTGACCTCCTCAAATATTTTCCCCTCTTTCACCTACGTGGATCAAAGTATTGGTAATTAGTCATAAAACAAAGTCTTACTGAAACCTTACGACAAGCTTACTTGTGCTTACCAGCCAAAAATCAAAAAGCATTACAAAGCCCCAAACTGGAAGTGAATCAAAACATAATTAAGTCAAAGCTAACAAAGTTAAAAAAAATTACAGGTAAAGTCCACTGATCTCTGATGGAGTGAACTTCAGTTCTTTGAGGTTTGTCGGAATTTTCTACTGATCTATAGACAGTTTGAGGAAGGCAGCATTACACTAACGCTGAGCATAAAACACCAACACAGAACAATCTGCAAACGGGACATTTTAAAAATACATTTTAATATATAAAAAAATAGTTTTGAGAAACTTAATTGATCAATTTTATTCTTTCTGATTTATACTTTATTATTTAAATATTAAAAGGGCTTTGAATTTTGGTCAACCAGAATACAATTAGTGCCTTTCACCAATTAATAAATGGCAGCTGATCCAAAGCAAGTGACCTTATATAACCATATAAGTGCCAGGCAGTGATCACTGAGCCCGTCAGAAAGTAACACTTATTTAGAACTAACAGAACAACATCCTAAAGGAAACAAACTTTTTTTTTTTTTATATAGAATGCAACATTCCTCATTAACTTCTCCTACAAAATAAAAATCAGCTCAAGGAAACGCACCCTAAAAATAACCCTGAAAATAATGCACCTAAGCACTCTGAAGTAAGTTGTGGATAATTCTAGGGAATAGGAAACAAATTAGAGTCTTCTCCTGTGATTTGAAATGCTACATAAAGAACGTGGAATTAATAAAGGTAACGCAAGAGAAATTATTTTGCAATGTGGTTAAACCATTCGTTTCAAATTGAAAATTAATCCATATCCCAAAGTGGTGGCACTGCTTCTCTTAGGAGAGCAAAATTAGCCTGCTTTATCAAAACCAATATATTTTGGGCAAGGGTCTGTAAGCAAGTAGAGCACCACATTCTCAGAAAAGATTTCATCAAAATTTTGGAGCTCATCCAACATTCTAGAAGCACAGAACAAATGCTCACCAAATGGGAAAGACGTAAAAGTACTTTTTTTTTTTTTTAAAAACACATGGCACAGGAAGGCAACATTTGATGCTAGGGAGAACTTTGACTAAAATTTACACTACCAGTGATCACTAGTCCCTCATGAGGACTACCTTGCTTTTTTTCCATGCCCACTAGTGCCCACCTGCATTTACTCAGGCCAGCACGTGTGCTTCCTTCCAACTGCTGCTGGTAGTGCCACTACTCACAGTTGTAAAGGGAAGATGAAAATCTGCTTCAAACCAGTTTCCTTGGAACAACAGTAACCAGAACTGCTAATCCAAGCACTACTTTAGCACACACCTTGCCTATGGATGCATAGAAAACTTGGGTTTTAACTGATCACCAGGTCATTCTCAACAAATACCAAATAACAGTTGCAAGAATATGTTACTCCTATTGATAAATTGTCCCCACTCATCTTAAACACATACTTTGCCCCAAATTCTACTGTCCCTGGATGAGGCAGCAGATGAACTACAGTGGTTCAAAGATGCTTAGCTCAATTACAACAATATTGGCAGGCAGATGAGTAAAACACTACGAACTCAACACTCAAAGATACTATTAATAGTTGGGGTTGTTTAATAACAGATTTTTGTATCCATTTAGGGTGCATTTTCCACACATCTTCCATTATTGAATGCCTGAAATCTAAAAAATAGTATCTAATGGGGAAGAACGTAAGAGACTCTGGTGGACATGGGAAAGATTGGTGCAGGGAAACCAGCCCCATTAATCTCTCTTTGGTCACGTACCAGCTTTGAATTATTTGATGTTTCCCCTTTGCTACTGTGCCAGTAGATGAAAAAACAGAAGGACGCACAGACAAACTGGGCACTTGTGACAGGAGGAAACAATCACTCCTTAAATCAGCATAACCATACTCTGCAAGTAATTCACTAGTTCCAAAGTTACCTTTTCCTGTGCAGGTTTGAGAACATTTTCATTTAATGTCTGACCTAACTCTGACGCCTAGTTAAAAGCAAAACAAAAACAAAGTCAGTTATATTTTATTTAAAAAAAAAAATAAAATATATCCACCACAAAAAAACACAGCCAACATCTTTTGCAGGCTAATTTCTCAGCAGTATCTCCAAAACCACATGAAGCTTCAGGCTTTGATTGAGACAAGCAGAATGAGCTGAAAAGCACACACAGTACAGTGCTGCAGAAAACATTCCAAGAAAATAAATTAAAAACAGATGCACATGGCAACAGGTTGTTGGAGATGCCCAGAGCCCAAGCCAAGCCTGACCTTGCACTGGAAGCAGAAGCAACAGTTCAGCCAGTGGTAGCCTACAAGATGGGCCCCTCGCTAATGCCGGCAGCTGAATGGCTGGAAGAACTGACTTCCTCCACCCTTGTTTTTCCTTACTAACGCAATTACTTGTAGAATTAGATCTTTTTGGCCAATTTTTCACCAATTTTTCTGTCCTGTAGTGCTGCAACTGTCATCTATGCATAACAGCCCAACTGTTTCTAAGAAAGAGACAAGAAGCAAAGCTGTTACAGAAGATTTTTGGTGTTTGTTTGTTTTACAGCTCCAGGTTTGCAGGGAGAGAAAACAATGCACTTCAGAAATCTCTTGCAGTCCAGACCAAGTCCAAGAACATTGTACTACAGAGGCACCTTACAAAAATGTAAGCCCACAGTGTAAGTCACAAATATACTTTTCTAAGATGACACTGACACAGACAGCAGGGTTTGCAAATGTTCCATTTGAAACTATTCCTTCCCCTGCTACCACCGTAAGCCTTTGATTGATCTAAACTTTTCTTCAGAATCACCATGTTATATCAATTACCTTTTGAATTAGCCCAATTAATCCAAAGGTGCCAATTTGCTTGCGAGACAAACATTATTCCTAAACATCAGCATAGACTAAGGAAATTTCATTTCCTAAGAGTCTGTATCTTATTGCTAACACAGGTTAGGGTGCAAGCCTGCATTCCTATTCTTCCTGGGCATGGAGCACCTTGAGCATCCCTCCTCCACAGATTCCCAGTTGTCCAAAAATCTTTTCCTTCAGCCACAGCACTACTAGGATCTCCTCTCTACGCAGCCACCATTATCTCCAATACTTCTACTCCTTACCAGTTCAAAAGTTATTTGAGAGGACAAAGGCAAAAGGAAACCTCATTTCCACCTAGTAAGAAATGCGAACGCAAATCACAAAGTTTCCATTGGAAGTGAGGCTAGAAATTGTTTAAGAAAAACGAGAAAGGGGATTTTTCATCTTTGAAAAATCCTTCAGAGTCTACTAAACCTGGCAAACTGTTTATGTTATATAATAAAGCATATCACACACTAAGATTAACAGGTTAGGTATGCCAAGTGAAGCTGTTGCTAGAATCAGGAAAAATTCTTGTATCACCCCATTTACTCAGGCATAATTTTGTGAATTCAGAAAAGGAAGATTTAGGTGCAATCGTGTTTCCATCTGAACCACTCCTTTATCTGTTCTATTGTTGAATTTTGGATAGCATCCTAAGCACCACTACAAACACTACCTAATGGGGCATTTATTGAAGAGTCTGCCTTCAAACAGCATCCCAGGGTAGCTCCTGGTGTACTGCATGCCTGGATCAGACATGCAACGGAAATCCTGAAGTCATCTGTGGTTACGAAAAGCATGAACAAAAGTACAGGATGTTTTCTGAGAGTGCAGAGCTTGGATATCTCCATCTGATTTAACTCACTTAAAATAGGTTTGAAGAAACATTACTGTACGAAACACACATTATTCTAAAACAGATTTGACTTAAGGCAAAAAAAAGAACAGACAGCTCAAGAGCAACTGAACATATGCAGCACCAACAGTGACAAGGAGTCCATGCACAGGAAAATACAGGAGGGCGTTACCGGCTCCGGCTGCTGCTTGTAGCCCCAAAACTTTACCCAGAGAGCAAAAAAGAAAGAGCAAGGAAGGTAGAAGCAGCTTTTAGCAAAAAACTGGCAGCATGTTTTCAGGCAAGTTAAGTAGCACGAACCTTTTCCAACTTTAACATCTACTGACAAGATAAACAGTGAATATGTTTGGTCACTGGCCACTAAATTTACTTTTAAACAATATATTACATCAAAAAGATGTGAAATCTGTTCTACAGTGCAAAAGATCAGGTGTTTCAAGAATAAAATCTAAGCTTCAGTAACACAGCTTAGACTCCAGAGCACCATGTTGCCGTGGTCCTTGTCAGTAGATGTGAGGAGCTTTTACACTTAATAATAATTGACATTTGCTGATAATACTAAGGAAAGAACAGTTTTCTAAAAGGGACACTGCTGGAAGGAGTGACAGAGGAAGACTTGGAGAACACTTAGCTTTGTTTTAACCCTAGTTTGAAAGAGGAAATCTTGTAATTGCTACTTTTTTAAATACACACAAGCAAGTTAATTTAATAACAATATTAAGCAGTTCACATTTGTAATATCTTATTAGGCTTTGGCAACGGAAAGATGACTTGCATTACATTGTATCACTGAGAAAATGGCTTTGAGACAGACCACACTGAAGGTTCACAAAAATTAAGAGTATTTTAAGTTTGCAAGCATGGTTTAAAGCACTTCATTCTACTGCCCCTCCAACACACCCCGCAGTTCCACACAGCAGAGTATCACTGTTTATTTCTTGCTGAATTCAATCACTGCAGTTGATTGTAATCCCCATGGAAATAAAAGCTAGAACCCCAAAATTACTGTGCACTGTGAAGGATAAACACACTGGTCTGCTGATCAAGTCTAAACCGATTGTTGCAGACAAACACTTGACATTTAAAGCCAATTACAGCCAACAGACACAGCTAAATCTATAATCACCTTTTGACTTGCTTGAGATCCAAACCTGGTAGCCTGCGAAAAGAAGCAAATTCGAGTGTACTAGGAACAAAACTTTTTGATTTTTAAACACACACATTCAGAAATGCTGCAGGATCCTCTCCAAGACAAATGGACCTTTGCCAGAATTTCGCAATGAACAGAGAGTATCCATATCACCACCCCTGGCGTTCCAGATTGCTCTGGGGAACCATTGGTTTTTCTCAACTTACAACAGGTGGAAGACAGGGTCTTCAATACAAACTAGATCTTGGTGGGCCAACGCAGATGAGTATCAATGTTTTTGTCTCTCATAATGTCATCCAAAGCAAGAGATGTTACACTCTGTTAACGCTCATGAACTGTTTGAACTTGGGAGATAACTGATACGCTCGTAAAAGTTTGGAAGAATACTAAGCAAAACTGGGAAAAGTTGTAATGCACAATTTTCACAAAAATATTTAATCTCTTTCCACCATCATCTATGTAAAATGTAATAACTTTTATTTCCTCTGGTTTTAGTCTACAGTTAGTTGAATGATTGTCACCTAAATTCTGCGTGAATTGGCAGAACATGCAGAGCATGAAGACCATGCCTTGTATTTTTCCCCTCAAAGTGTCCCTCTGGGCACAACCTCTGCCCAATAAGCTTTCTATTTAAACTGACAAAAATGCTGCAGTTAGAGAGAAGTCAAAGGAAGGAAAAAGCATAAAACCATCAGCAGTGTGTAACTTGGCATTAAATTCCTGCTTAAGAAGGCGATTTGGCCTCACTTGGCACAGACGGAAATTTCTGCTTTATAATAAAAATTTTTCTTGAGCTCTTTCTTGATGCTTACATCCAGTGGACACATTCACAAAAATGTCCATCCAGAAACGTGAGAAGTACTTCAGGCAGAGATCTGAATTCAATATGCATCTATTTTATATGCCATAGGCAAAGAAACAAAGAGCAGAATTTAGTTTGTCTTTGTAATACTTTTAAATATTCATCACTATTAGAACACTAACAGAATCTCTGGGTTTACAAGAATTACAGTGAAATACATTGTTTACTTACACCTTCTTTAGCAGCTGAGGCAATTTTGCTTGCTCCAGTTGTAAAACTGCTCCATCCCTTTAAAGAAAGGGAGAATATCGTAAGCTATGAGTAGTGAATAATAGTGAACAACCAAGTGTTCAGTATTACATGTTAAATTAAGTCAAAATGTTCTCCAACACAGCTTGTCCTGTAGTATTAAGAACTACTCACTAGTAAGAGCAAAAATTATAGACTCTCTTCACTGTAATATGGTGATGAACTTCCATTTTTGGGTCAAACAGCTGCAAACTGAACAAACCTGAGTGCTTCAGGTATTATTCTAATAAAAATGGCTACACACAAAAAAAAAATTCCTCCCCTGTAGAAAAGCAAGAGAACAAAAAAAGACATTAAAGCCTTAGTAAGTGGAGATTGGCTCTTCAACAAGTAAGCACTGGATAGGGGGGAAAGTGTTCGAAAAAAGAAAAACAAGGAAAAAAAATTAATCAGTGAGCAGTTTAAATATGTCTAAAAAAGCTGAGAAGAAAACAAGAGGTGGCAATTCATAAAATGCCTATAGAGCAATTTTCCATTTCATAATAAAGCTTCAACCTGCTTGTTTGCTGCAAATTTTACCTTCAAAACCAAAAGAAATAAAGTTTTATTTTGCCTCATTTGTTCTTGGAAGATCTGAAAACCACTGGCCATTTCTTAAGACTTTTCTGTAATTAAACAGAAAAGGTTTCTTCTAACTACTGATTAGCAGATACTTCTTAAGAAACTAGCTAAAAGAAAGTGGAATGGGAGAGTGATTCTAATGATTTCATTTTTTTAACAAAATAATTAAAAACCTCTTAACAACTGTTTAGGTTTCAGTTCTTGTTAGTAACTCATTCATCTAGAATCTGTCCAGCAAAACAAGTGCAAAAAAACCCCACCATACTTGAAAGGATAAAAACCAGAAACAAACTTTACCATGTCTGTGCTTCTCCTTGTATATAATAATGAATGAAGAAATAGTTTTTCTTCTTTGCAGATCATCACCACCTAATTTTAAGCTATGCTACAGAATCCTTTAAACAGAGCACTATAAATGCAAGGCTAACATCCATGTCCTTATGCATCTGTCACTGCCTTTTAATAATTTGATTTCCATCAAAGTGAAGATGTTTTGGTAACAAGCTGCCTTTTGGGTAGATTCCCATACAAAGGCTGTAAATAGCATCTTCTTCTCCTTATCCCTTCTATTTAATTTGATTACACCACATATTTAGGGTGAGGGAACACCTTCTAAAAAAGCAGCAAAAAATATTTTTGGCCTATCTTTTTTGAAGTCTCTTCATTAATCGCCCTTCCTGTCCTACGCTGAAACACTGGAAGATAATTATTCCACCAATTCCACAGTTTTTACGTTAAGCAGAGTCTCGAGGGACTCAAACCCAAACTGCAATTACATCTGTTCTTTACAGAAGGAGTTGGATAGTGTGGTCGGTGTGAACTCTACAGCAAATGCTCCTTCTGATACGTAACAGCAGAAAATAATGGACACACATAAGCAAAAAAAACCAATTTTTTTTTCAGGGTGTGTGGGCAAAAGCAATCATATGCAGTGGGAGGAAAACTGGTTTCCTCACCAGCATGCAAATATTTAGTCTCACGATAATAAAGGCCTTGGAACTGTGCTGTAGTGCGGCTCTGTGGTCACGAGAGGGAGCTTTCATCACAAATTTCCACGAGCTCCTGTCTTCAAATAACGGTCGAGAGTGTCGTCTCCCCTTTGCTGTCTCAGCACAGCTGCCGTATGCTACAGATGTGGTTTCTAACTTGAGCTCTTGGCAAGCTCCTGTCTTCAAATAAACGTCGAAGAGTGTCGTCTCCCCTTGCTGTCTCAGCACAGCTGCCGTACGTTACAGATGTGGTTTCTAACTTGAGCTCTTGGCCTACAGTCTACGACATTCCTAGAAAATATTCAGCAGATCTACGCTGAGCACCCTGTGAGATCACCTGTTCACAGGCTCAGATGCTGCCTTTTTCTATTATGTTCTTGTGAAATTGTTATATTTTGAAAACAACCAACCAAACAATAGAACCTGGTGTGTGGATATTTAGACTGATGAAGCTCTACAAAAGACTTCTGGCCACCAACCCTGGTAGCAAACTTTACTGTATTTCAAAGTGACTCCAAATCCCAAACATTGTTCAGCGCTGTCACTTTGCAGCCTGTCAAAGCACCAGTATGTCCCTGACTGCCTCTGACTGCATTCCCATTTCCTTTAACGATGCATCTTTCAGCATCTCTAATCACAACTGTTCAACCACATGCTGTTATCGCCTCGCACCCTGTCACAAGTACTTCAAACGTTTTCACCACTGCTCAGGACTTCTGGCACCCACGTACACACACATTTCAGTTGTTTTCCACTGAACACACAAAATATGGTTAATCTATTTAGAGGATTACCAGCCTAACTGCTATTCCCAACAGGTAACTATCTATTTTTTTTTTACTCCCTTCAAGCCCTGTTAAGTATTAGTTCTTAATCCATTCCTCTATCTTCATTTCCTTCTTTCTACGAACTGATACCGGACACAATTTCTGAGTTTTGCTCAAGTTTCTCCCTTCATTTTGCCTTTTAAAGTCTACCAGTATCTTCTTCACTCTTTGAGAACACAACCAATACTCTACATCTGTCTGTATCTACTTGCCATTTTTAGTTACTCTTTTTTCATTTATATTCTCCCATAGCAGGAGATGAAGTAGAAGAAAAGAGTAACTCAGGTCACAGAAAGCTCCAAGCATTTCCTTACCGAGTACAAGGAAGACATAGCATTATTCAGGAAGTCATCCTCTTTTTTCGGAGGGTTTACTGTGTTTCCAAATCCCACATAGCGATTCTCTTGGCCACTACCAGAAGAACATGAATAAACAGCATCTGTATTAGCATGCATCCATGAAAGCCATGAAACAAAACCAGGAAAGTATGAAAGCATGGCAACTGTTTAACAGACTTTCAAATATACCTGGGAAAAAGTCTTACAGCATCTCACACTCAAAACACAAACCCACTCGCTTCATAAAGTCATTAACACCAACAAAGATCCACGGATGAACCCTTGCAAATTGGTGTCTCCTATGTCAGCTAATGTGGTCTCAACGACTCTCCAGGTTCAACAGACCAGTGACATCAGAAGTCTGAGTAAATCCTCATAAAGTAATACATGAAAATGGGAAAAGGAAAGAAAGAAGGAAAGTGTTGTCTTTATAAATCCCCATTTAACTCAAGTCACTATAAACACTAAAAACTCCCTACTTTGGAGCCCACCACAGTGACGTTTGAGTTACAAGCACTTCCTTCAACGCTATTCAAACATTTTTGTTACACAAACGCATTCAGAGGCGCCTTCCTTCCTCTTACCCTTTCTCATATACTATTAACATATTTTCAGTAGTAAACAAGATGTAACTGTTAACTAGTGAATCAGGATCACAGTCGTGTAGCTGTACTCGAACATCCGAGTCTTTGTTACGCTAGAGGGCCAGGCACTCAAGAAGTTAATAAATATTACATTACCCTTGGTAGGAGTTGACATCATCATTTAACCAGTCTTCAAAAGCCTTGTCAGAGGAGGCAGTTGCAGCCTGAGATTGCCCAGCAGAACTACTGAAATGGAAGATTTACGAGTCAGACAACATAAAGCAAAAACCACCAGCTCAGCAGCGCAGCCTGACATACATCATCGTAACACAGGCGCAAAATTGATAATTTCTTTCGCTTGGCAAGTAGGGAACTCTAATGCGACCACTAAAAGCCACCAGAGTGTTGAATGAACCAAGCAACAGCAGACTCAGACACAGACAATGCTGCTCAGACTACAGCTAGCCCCTGAACTGGCTGGATGATGGCCAGGCATGAAGTGCTTGTTCACTTGATTTACAACTGCTTTTTAAGTTAACTTGATTCTTTAGTGCAAAGAATAACAAACACTTCATGGGAAAGCAGAAAAACAAAACTGCTGTGGTCCAGCCTTGAACCTCCCATTAGTAATTAGCACCGTAAGGAAAAAGGCTGTTCTTCCCTGGCATTCCATCACGAAGTGGAACAGCACTGCAGTTCAGGTAAGGCTGTGACACGCTACACGTGACTGACACAATGAGTAATCTCAGGTGCATTACAAGTCAAGACAAAACCAGCATGGCTTGTCCTCTGCTCTTGCTCACCTGTCTCTGCCAGGGTTAAGATCCAGGTGGAGGAGGTGGCAATTATTACAGAAATTAAAGCCCTGCTACCTCATATTCCTTAACTTCAGCAAAAGAAATGCTTGTTCAGACACCGGCATCAACAGAACAAAAGCAGCAGACATTCAAACACCAGGTTTTGATCCCGCTGCTGCTACATTAACATCAGATAACAAGATACACACCGATGAGTGGAAGAGAGAGACAGTTTAGGCTGAGGTGGGGTCCAGTTCCTGGCAGGAGAGGTTTCAATAGACCACTCCTTGCCTTCAGCTACTGTAGCTACCTAGAAGAGGTAGGAAAATAATTAAAACGCTAGGTTAAAGTTTTCATACAAGTTATAGACTGGTCCTGTAAAGTGAGGACAACTCATTTTTCCAACTTGCTGCCAGCTACACAGATCAATTGATTTGTTTTACAAGAAATCATTTTTTTTCTGAATCTCAGGCTAGAAGCGTTGAATTGAACACTATGTCAGGCAACTGATTTGAGGCAACTTCAAACAGGCAAATTTGGTTTGAAGAGGAAAGACTAGATTAACAAACAGATGTAAGAGGAATAGAAAGAGGTGAATTTATGGTCTGGCATAGAGGAGGTAAAACACATACACAGAATTTTCATGTTCTCCTGCCTCCTTCAAACAAAGGATCTGAACTTCATCTCTTCACCCCTTACCACTCCTCTTATCCAAGTCATAACTTCGGCAAGTTAACACAAAATTTCCAAAGGCCTTGCCACAGAAACTCCACAGTTCCCCATTTCACATAATAAAGGCTTACAGCACAGAACTTAGGAATTCTGTGATTTCATCAGGATCAAGCCTACCATCTCCTAATTCCTAGCAACTTCTACCATCTCCTAATTCCTAGAAACTTCTAAGGATGCAAAGAGATGACACACACACCTTCAAAGCTGCATAGCTACCCCAGTAAGCACAAAATGTACCTTTTAACCACTTCCGTGGCGGGGTCAGATCAAAAATACAGTATCCTTGTAAATCTCCAAGCTCACGAGTTCAAGCTGTTCATCATTTGATTTTTGGAAACTCCAAACCTCCATGAAGTGATAATGCCATTACAATTACTAATTTATTCATTTATAGGCCTGTCAGTGTTTGGCAAATTTTGTTACTACATACACAAAAGACTTATCAATAATCACTTTGGCTAAAACTGTACTGCTGAAGTAGTAAACCACTTAGTGTGGATTGGGACAGCTCCACCGACTAATTTGTTGCAACAAATTGCAGCAGTGAAAATCTGAGCCACTTCAGCTAAATGCAGAAAAGAAAGTTTCTACAGAAAATTCTTACATTTGAAGAATTATTCCTTCCAAGGGCCACTGCAGAGGTTCAAAAGCTTGCTACTTTCCCTCTCCCATCCTTCAAAAACAAGTGCTTACAAAGCACTTTGATATTTTCAGCTAGTAGGGCATGAGGACATACACAACTGAACTCACCTGATCTCTAAAAAGAGCCGCAGCTTTGCTGTTGTATTTCTCTTGCATTGACCAGCAGGGATCATAGTCATCTTGAGACTCCAGGAACTCTCGAAATTTGCTATTACCTCCAGCCTTCATTTTCTCCAGCTCAATATCCTTCCATTTGTCCATGGTTACGGAACGTACAAAACTGAAAAGCAGTTGTTTTTTTTTTAAAACAAAATTAAATCACAGCTTGTTGTAATTTCCTGCTGTATCAGCAAGGATAAAAAAAACATTGCAATCTCTCTCAAAGGTTGAGAGTATAAACATGTCAGAGAACACTCCCCAAGTATTGAAAGATATAGAAGTACAGAAGATACAGAAGGTTGTCAAATCTTCACTGAAATAAGCTAAAATCACGCCATTTATTGGCACTTAAAGGAGACAGTCAACAGAAGGCAAGTGACAGAAAAAGCAGTTTTCTTCAAGTCCAGAAATTAATCTAACCCACTATATAAAAGCAACTTTTCTGATATTTCTTTACTCTGCAATTTTCTTTTCCTGTCTATTTTCACAGCTACACTTCAGCGACCTGCGAGGACACCTCCTGTCCCACTCCATGCTTCTGCTCCTAACAACCAGCAGGCACTGACAGCTCAACTGTTTAAAACACTCTATTCTATAATGTGACCTCATCTCAAGGCATTTATGACTGCAATTAGCATCTCAACCCTGCTTTAAGCCATAAATTCTTGAAACTGCTTATTAAACTATGTTTAAAACAAGCAAACAAACAAAAAACAACAAAAAAAACCCTCAACCAACAACAAAAAAACAACCCAAACAGTGCCGTACTGTTAAATACAAGGTCACAGAGGGGGAAAAAAGTGAGACACCATCATCAACAAGGCTCTTTAAAACTCGTTTCTTGACTGACTTCTTTCTTTTTGTTCCCAAAGAAACACCCTTCATCCTAGCCTCATCTCAGTAATTTAATTTTTTCTTTCATGTACCTATGGAATAGTTCCAAACTCTCTTTCCTATGGCATTTCTATTCACTAATGAGCTTCAAATCACCCCTTGAAAAGCAAAGCACATACTTGCAAACAGCCTCCTTGCTTTGGTGATTCCCCTCCTGGACTTTCTCTCCCTTCTCATCTGAGTAACTGTCCCCCACTCTGCCCCTATATATACCCATACTGTGAGTCTCTGGAACACATAATAGTTCTTATCTCACAGTTTCCCATCTCAGTTGAGTATGTTTCTTGGTAAAAATAAAAAGCATTTTTTTTTTATTTTTGTTCTGTTTTATTGTTCAGGCTTCTGAACAGAATAAAACTGTTCTTTACGCTTGCATACACTACAGAAGTAAGTTTAATGTGACTTTTTTTGCTCAATTCTCATGCTGCTTTAGCACTACTTTGGTTTTACTCGATAAAGATGATAGAAGATTAAAAGAAGAGAGTACAAGGATTAGTGCAGTATTACCACACACCACCTCACAATGCAGCCAGAGACACTGCTGTCTAGAACTGGGCACAACATGACTGCACTGGGGCAGCACATGCCCCAACTGATTACAGACAAGGCACAGAGAGGAAAGTTCACTTTGGAGAGGAGCATGAAGCAAAACCTCTGGAGAAATGTTGGAACTGAGACATTCTATATCCTTCCAAAACAATCCACTCTGTTCACAGCCATAATGCACCCTGAGGTAACCCAACTCAGCCCATCGTCTGCTTGAGAGGCTGACCTGAGGTGAACTCCCAAGCCTCGGTGTTTTCCTGAGCACTCAAGACAGATCCAAATTCCGTAGGTCACACTCACCCACTGGGGGTTAAATGCACCGCATTCAAAACAGACCTGCGGAGAGAAACAGTTATCTCTAACACTCCATTAGCACTCGTCCCTGTGAAGTTGTCACAGTGCAGCTCAAGAAGTCAAACCACAAAAGTGTTACACACAGAAAATCATTTCAGAAAGGAGAGTTCTTAGTGTTTGGAAATACCTTCTCTGACAGCACAAGCTTCCTTCAAATATTTATTTATGCTGCATGGAAAGAAATACTCATTAACTTGCCTGACTTAGATTATAAAAATTACTGTACTGACTACCAAAAACCAGTGAGGTAGTAAGTAGAGCAAGTTGAAATTAATGAGCAAAGAATTCAACTTAATTTAATTTCTATATTATCTTGAAGGAGCAGAACTAACCAAACTGAATTCTTGAGGTCTTCTTGGCAAAATAAACATGCAACATTTAAAGTTCAGAGCGTTTATTCAGTCATACCACAGTCTGGCAGCGAACGACAGCAGATCTAAACAGAGGTTTTTCTTAAAAACAGCTTTATTGCTTCTACAGTGCAACAACTTAACTTCTCACGACTGGAATCACCATCCAAGGTTTATGCATTGATATAAATAAAACGTAACCTGCCCATGGGCTATCACATTTAAGGTAGTGCACAAGCAAGCTACTTGTAATAGATCATTTTAATTAAGCTTTGCTCAAGACATCACCTGTTGAACAGACTCTAGGGGTTACAGCATTACTGGAACTTCTGAAAGACTTGTGCTAAATATGCAGCAAGGGTTTATAATACATATATGAATGAAAGTTACTGGAACTAACACAAACGAGATACCCAAATTTATATGTTACCATCAGTTAGCCATACTAGTACTGTAAACTCAACAGCTGTAGCAGACCACAACATGCATCTGGAGTAGGTAAAAAGAAAATACAATTCTGCAAAACTCATCTAAAGAAGATTATAGTTTTCTCACATTGTTCTCGTCTTGTGCTCTCACTTCCTTCAGGACTTTCCTTGTTCTTGGACTCGCCATAATTCTACACAGGGAGAAAAACAAAAAACTAAGTCATATTCAAGGATTTGATAATGGTAAGATCCGTCCCACAACAGCCCATATCCACACCATTCCAATGTTTACATACAGTAGGAGTTTCAGATCTCTATCTCCAAGCTGACAGAGGAAGTGATTGCCTTTGGGTCTGCCGTAACTGCTTTTTTTGATAAAAACTTTTCAATTGAAAGACCTCCAGCCAAATGCAATCTGAACACATGCCCCTTCCAGAAACACCAAGTTCCCTGACCAAACCACCACATCTGTCTGGTGGGAAGGCAGAGCTTTATCCACACCATGTCACCCAAGAAAAAAAAAGGAGGTCACTAAGGCCACCAGCTTCTCACCTTGTTCTCCTCCACTAAATCATTTGGAAATGAAGGAAAGAGGGACAAGGAAAAAGAGTCACGCTCTAAGCTTTCTAACAGATAAATACGATAACAGATAAATACGATAACAGATAAATACGATAACAGATAAATACGATAACAGATAAATACGATAACAGATAAATACGATAACAGATAAATACGATAACAGATAAATACGATAACAGATACGGCGCCGTCTTTGAAGGTACCTGGTGTATTTTCAACTGTATTTGCCCACAAAGTTGTAAGTGATCAAATTATCGTTTACCACCCAAAAGCTGAGCCCTAGTTGCTGACTGGGCACGTAGCCACTGTGCTGTTTAAGTTTCAGGAGTAAATACTGAAGTAACGATTGTGCAGACACCTTAAATAAACAGGCATTGTTTCGATCGATGTAAACGGATACGAGCAGTACAGAAAATGTTTAGTTTAGGAATAAGTTTTCACTGAAGAATATAAATATTTTGGGCTAAAGGTTCCAAAGGGGAAACAGAGAAATCTGACAGTCTTATTTCCTAAACGATCCATTTCCAGAGCAAGAACTACCCGTGCGTGGTATGAATTTCCACGTCAGGAATCTTTAGCTTGCTAAAAAAGCAAGAAAAAAGGCACTTTTAAGTGGAAATGAGCCATAGGAGGACACCGGTCCTCTGATGCAGCAACAAATTCGCAGAGTTGACTGGTAAAGAGCTTCTGAATATGACGATTAGGCTGGTGACGTGGTCTGCATGACATCACGGTGGGTCTCACCGGAGCAAAAAGGCCACGGCGGCCCTGCCGGCCGGAGAAACGCTTCGAACCGACCTCCACCGCCATCTCCGCGCCGCGGGCAAGGCTGATTTCCAAACATATCTCGGAGGCTGGTGCACGCTTTTAAAAACGCGCCGTTCTGCACACCCAGAAGCACGGCCGGCTTACCGACAGCTTCACGGGGGCCGCGAGGAGGACGATTTTTTCACTGATCTCCGGATCCCAGCCGAGTCCTGCAGGCTCCC